TTTTTTTTTTTTTTTTTTTTATATATCAATAATTATTGAAAGAGAGATCCAACCAAAATTTCTGCTTCTCCACAATCTATGCCAGGGAGTTTGGCGAAATTAGTGGCTCTCAATAGAAGTCAAGGAGCGAAAGTCTCGCAACAAAATCATCTTACTATAATTGAGGAGTTGACGGATGAGGAAGCCGGATTGATCGGAGTAAATAAAGAAAAAGCAGTGGCTGAAGTGGGAAACAAAGCAATTTCAAATGATGGTACAGCTGTCGAGTCTTTGTCAAGTTTTCGTCAATGCCGTATTTATTACATATAATTTTTTGGCTACAACTATCATTAATTGTAAGGAATTTTTTTCATAAAAATATAATTAAAAAATTATAAATAATTACAAAAAATTTAAGAGAGAGATTCTTTTACCTTCATTAAATATGAATCTTTTCATGGTAATTTTTTTAGTTTGAAATTTTTATAATTATCTATCTCATTTATAAATTTAAATTATCTAAAAATTGATTTTTATTTTGAAATTTTTTCACTTTTACATTATTATTGGCATATACATACATCATATTCATTGCTTGTCAATTTCCACATTTACTTGACAAATGTGGTCAAGCAAATGTAAACAAGGAAACTTATAAACAATTACAAGGAAGGGATGAACAGAGAAGAGTAAAAGACTCGAGTTATTTTGGCATTTTTTATAAAAGGTCCAACATTAATGTTGTTATTTTTTGGAACAAATAAATTTTCACCACATACAATTCTGTAAGTTTTGACTCCCACTTCTTGTCACTTTCTTTATTGTTCTTACTTTTGCGATTCTTTACGGTACGAATTACATATTAAAAGTGAAATTAGTAAATTGATGGTTTAAGTACCATTTTGGTCCCTCAACTTTACACTTTGGTATTAAAATTATCCCTCAGTTTTAAAAAGTATCAAAATTATCCTCAAACTTTCATTTTCGGTACCAAAATGGTCCTTCCGTCAGTTAAATGCCAGATGGCATGTTAAAATGCCAGTAAATTTTTTTTTTTTTAAACATACTGACGTGGAAAAGATAACACACGAAAATTGATGAGATGGCACTTTATTTTGTTTACATGGCATTTTTAATTTTAAACAAATAAATAAAAATAATTTATTATTAATTAATTAAAATCATTTTCAAAATTAACCTTCTTCTTCCTTATTCTCCCCTTCCTCTTCACTCTTCCCCAACATTTCTTCTCCTTCTCCATCTCTTTCGACTTCTCTTCCCTTTCCAGATTCTGGTTTCCATCTCTGAGGTAATCGGTTTTTGATTCCTCCTTGATCGTTTACGAGTTGGATTTCTCAACTCAATCTCACTCTCTCGACCTAGAACAACATACCCAGAATCTGGTGCGAGGCTGCTGAAATGCCAAATCTGGGTTTGGGAAAAACCCAGAGTTTGGTGGGTTTGAGGAGCTTGGGGCGCTGGTGGATGTGGAGAATATTGGGTCGAAGAGGGTGCTGGAAAAGGCTGGGTTTATAAGGGAAGGGGTTTCGAGGAACTGGGTTTGTGAAACTGGGTTTGTGAAGAGAACCCAGATCTGGGTTTTTCTCAAACCCAGATCTGGCATTTCAGCAGCCTCGCACGAGATTCTGGGTTTAAGAAACTGGGTTTGTGAAGAAACTGGGACGCACTCGTGGCACTGCTACTCCCCCGTGTTCGAGGTGAAGAAACTGGGTCTGTGAATTTAGACGAGAATCTGTTGTTCGAGGTGTTGAAGCATGTGGACGCAAGGACGCTGGGCATGGCTGCCTGCGCGAGCAAGTTGTCTTTGGATCTTGAATTTTTCATTAATTACTTGAATGGTTGGAAAATTGAAGTTTTCAATATAAAAATTTTGGGTTTTTTATAGATCTGAGGAAGGAGAATGATTGTTGCAGAGGGGAAGGTTTGAGGTGGAGGGAGACAAGATTTTGTCAAATTGGTTCACAATTTTTTTTA